TGGGGCAGCCACAGCTTCTCTGGGCAACCTGTGCCAGGGCCTCCCCACCCTCACAGGGAAGGATTTCTTCCCAATATCTGATCTATACCTGCCCTCCTTCAGCTTAAAGCCATTCCCCTTGTCCTGTCACTCCAACCTTCTCATGCCCCACCTGTTCTGTTAATGGCAGGAGGTTCCACAACTGGGCTTCCCTCTTCCCAACCAGCATTCCCTGCTCTGCTGCATCAGAGGGATCAGCACTTCCTTCTGCTGCCCCACTCCTACAGACACCACTGTCACATCCCAGGTGCCACCTGCCAGCACGACCTGATGCTGTTTGGGTTCTGTTTCAAGTCCCTCTGGATAATAATCCTGCTCTCCCCATGTGCCTGGTAAAGGACACTTATAAACTAGGAATATAAAGGCGAAAGGCTGCTCCAAGGAAAGGTCCCCAGGAGGGAAGGGGCACAGTTACTGTGTGTTGTCCCCACAGGTAGAGTCAGGCAGGGACTCGGTGCCTGCTCATCTCCCACAGACTGTCCCTCTGCTCCAGCTCAGCTTTGATTTGCTGCTTTTTCTCAACAAAACTAGACTTTCTCTATGATTTTTTTTAAGCTCCACTTTTCCTGTAGAAGCAACACTTCTGTGGGAAAAGAGAATGGATTTTAAGCCAGGCTCATCATTCACCCCTGGCCATGTCCAAATCAACTTTGCCAAACTCCAGCTGCAAAGTCTCCCTGTGGCTGTGGCACCTTGGCTGGACTGATCCCTGTCACCCCCCCAGTCCAGGGGCTGCAGGGGTGGCACGAGGGCACCACTGATCCCTTACTGAGGAGGAATTTTACTGAGCTGAGGGAATTTGATTAACATGTGAAAAGCTGCACTATCTGTGTGAGGAAGACCCTGCACTGTTATGTCACACTAGATGATTTGTTAGGAACCCTAAAAGAAGTTTGACGTGATTAATTGCTGTTTTCCAACCATTAGAGAGTGCAGCAGGGTGCTCATAACTATTTATAACACTCTCCAAGGACATGACAGTCTGGAGAAGCCACTATTCACACAGATAATATTCTTATAACATCTATGAGTCATTTATCCCATTATGAAAAAGAATCCAACATAAAGCATGGCCTTTGCTATTCCTCCCTCTGATTTATCCAGGGACAGAACTGTCAACCCACCGTAGACACGAGCAGGAACTCTTTCATATCCCTTGTGTTTATTAAGGAACCCTGGGGTCCCTCCTCTCTCTGACAAGTCTCCCAGGGCATTCTCTCTGGAATGAGTCAATTTTGCCACTCTTTGGGAATTCCTGTCTCTAGAGGTACCAGCACGAACTAAGACAAGAAGAGCTGGGCTGCAAATCTGATTATCCATTTCTCCCTCCATCCACGCTTCTCCAAGGATCCTGGAGGAGAACTAGGGATATTCTCACTCCTTGCCCTACTACCAGTGAGTATCAGGGTGCTGCAGTGAGACTGCAGCTTGGCTGAAGCCAAAAAGAAACCCACGTGTCTCCCAGTAAAAGGAGAATCCACCGAGTGCATTCCTGTCCTGCAGTCTCACTTCCCAGACTCCGGAATGGAGTCATTTGGCCACTTAATTCCACACTTCTGGAACCAGCAGAGCCCAACAAGCTCAGCTGTGACCAATGAAAAGGCATCAAGTGCAGTTGTTGTCTGTCAGTCAGACCTGGTGCTGCACAGAGCTGCCAGAACATCGAATCAAAGAATGAT